GGGCCCCAGCGGCGAGGGAGCTGCGCGGCGGCGGCGACGACGTGAGCGCGCAGGGGGGCGGCGGCCTCGCCTCGTCTCGCTCTCTCGGCTCTGGGTCGGGGTGACGCCGAGCGCCGGAGCGATGTCGGATTTCGACAGTAACCCGTTTGCGGACCCGGATCTCAATAACCCGTTCAAGGTGAGCGAGGGCCGCGGCGTCTGGGCGCCCACGACGAATCCGGGCCCGGCCGGGTGGCCCGGGCCGCGCGCCTCGCCCTGGGCTCGGTAGAGCCGCGCCCGCCTCACCTGCCGAGGAGGGGCGGGGGTCTTGGCGGAGGCCAGGCACTGAGGGGAGGCCGGAGGCGGGCGGCGGGTTGTCATGGCGACCCGCGGCGGCGGGTGCGCGCCCGGTGCGGCCCGCGAGGAGGAAACGGGGGTGCTCGCGTTATTTAAACTTGTGTTCGCCCAGAGGCCGGCGGCGGCCCTGCCGGAGTCCCTCCGGTTCGGCCGAGGTTGAGGGGGCTGAAATCAAAGCCGAGCGAAAATAATAAACAAATGCGAAAAACAATAGTGCACGTGGACGGCGTCTTCCCACCGAGCTGCCCTCGCGAGGGAGAGGAGGGCGCTTTTCCCGGCTCCCGGTGCGTCACCGGCCCTGGGCGGCCGAGGATACCGTCTCCCGCGGGAGCTGCGGTCGGCCTTACCATCCCCGGCTGCGAGGGGCTGGCGCAGGGGAGGGGAGGAAGGCGGCTGAGCGGGTCCCTTCCTGCCTTAAATTAGTGCACCCTCTGAGCTGTCTTTTTAAAGGGACTCCGGGTTTAATGCTTAACTGCTTAGCAAGTGTAATTTCCTTCCAGCTGTAGGTTAAGTTAGTCGTTTCTTAATCTCCCCTGGCCGTGTGCAGTAGTGCCGTTAATTTGTAGTCACGCAAAACGAAATGGTAGCTCTAATTTGTGGTCACACCAATGTCACTCCTGGTGTGTTCGGTTAACGTACTTTTTTAGTCCTGGTTTTCTCTCTGAGTATCCTCGAAGCGGTCTAATAATTTCATGGAGGGTTGTCCTAATGCAGTGACCTTGGTTATAATTGACAACTCACTTTGTAGAAATATAGACTAGACTTAGTCACCATTGTGTTGCCCCAAGTTTTTCTTAGAAAAATGCATTACAATTGGCCTGTAATCTTCATATGTTTTACAGATGATGTGGTTGCATTTTTTCAGGACGATCCCCCACCCCCGAAGTTCTTAATGTTGGATTCACTTACATGTTGTGGGAAATCAAGTTATTCTTAAATCATAGACATCCTAAGGGGATATCTCATAGATTGTCAAATGGGTGTTATTTCAAAGTATTTTTAAAATATAACATTAAGAAACCATTAGCTTTTCCTAATTCAGGTAGTTGATTGATGTTTATTTAGCATCTGACAATACGGCTGTTTATTTTTCTATTTGATCATCCATTTTCCTGACCCATTTCATACTAGGTCTCTTGGTAGGGCAGGATGTTGTCCTGTTAGCTCACGTTGCTGTTTTGTGACATGATGATGCGATGAATTTTTCTGTTCCAACATTCATAGTAAGGTTGCTGAACTAATTCTGAACCCAGAAGTTTTAAATATTCATTCATTGTGATATAAAAGTGTAAACCTACTTTTATTCTTTGGAAGTTGTTGCACTCAAGGAACAATGATTATTCAAGTCTGTAAAGATGCTTTGAGAGTGTGAAGATTCGGTTGTACACATACTCTATATTATCTTTTTCTGTTATAGCGCTGTCCTACTGGACTCTTGGTATTTGTATTCAGCTATCTTCTTTCTTCTCAAAGTAAGGTTTACATTGTTATACCTTAGTTTTGTCTTCTGTTTTTTTGGTGGGGGAGGCGGTGCTAGGATGTAATCCAGACCCTGACACATCTGCAACCCTCTTTAAGTTTTATTTTTTAAATTTTGAGACAGGGTCTTGCTAAGTTGCTAATGCAGGCTGGCCTCAAACTTGAGATCTTCCTGCCTCAGCTTCCCAGAGTGCTGGGATTATAGGTGTCTGAGTTACTTTTCTTGTTGCTGAGACAAAATACCCAACACCCAAAGTTAAAGGAGGAAAGGTTTATTTAGCTCACAGTTTGTAGAAGTTTCAGTCCGTAGTTGGCTGGTTCCAATGCAAGGTGGCATGGCACACAGGCATTGCAGAGGAGAAGCAGTTCATGGTGGGAAGAAGGCAGCAGAAGCAGCAGAGTAGTGAAGGAGTAGCAAGGGACAAGGGAGAAAACCAGCCCACATTCTATCCCTTATATTCTATCCAGGCTACCCTCCCGTAAGATGGGGAGCACTCACAGGCCTGGTAGGGCAACCGTCATCCTAGCATCACACCATGAATCAGTTCAGCATCACATCCTTAATCCCAGTATCACACACACTACATCTAATCATCTCCAAAAAGCCCCACCTGGGACTGCATGAGGCTTTGGGGGGACATCTAGACACAAGTCATAACAACAGGCAAGTACTGCAAAATCCCTGCTTTCTTATTCTTCTTTTGCTTTCTTTTATGTAAAAGTGATTTTTTTTAAGGTAGCAAAAACGTTCCTGGATTCATTTTTGTTTATCTTGTGATCATCTTGCTTTTCAAATCTTTGCTATTTCACATTTGTTTTTCCTCCTAACTTCTTAAATGCCTTTTGTTGCTTTCTTTATTCTTTAATGTTTCATTCATTTCACTTGTTTTACTGGTCATATTAGAAAAACTTTTGCACACATCTTCATTTGAACCATGTCATGAAAATAATTTCTGAATGTAGTCTTGTTAGGTGATATAACCACAGTGGTTTACTTCATTCTTTTGGCTGTTGTAAAATTATTTGCTGGAATAAATTCATTTTTTAAACACCTCCTTCACACCAGTGGTTATGTTAGGCATAGTGAATGGTTTTAAGTATCTTGAATGGTTATATTATGCATGCCCCTCTGCCATGACACCTTGCCTTAGAGCCATCCAAGTATGGATTGAAACCTACAAACTGTGAGCTAAATGAGCCTTTCCTCCTTTAACTTTGGGTGTTGGTTATTTTGTTTTAGTAATAAGAAAAGTAACTAAGTTAGTAGTTAACTTAGAAGTAAGTAACTAAGAACTTACCCAGTACTCGGGGAAGCTGAGGCAGGAGGATCTCAAGTTTGAGGCCAACCTGAAAATCTGCAGTAATCCAACAGAAGATGGATTACTAATATTATGGAGGTTTGTGAAAATCCACTTTTGAGTTGTTAAAATGTGGTTTTTAGCTGGAGGAAAATTTTTTAAAAATAGAAAACATTTATTGAACAATTCTGTATGTTCTTGATTCTTCTACTTAGTTGTTCATTCACTGAAAGATGTTGAAGTATCTCTTTCTTTCTGGATAATAGTTTAACTTGGAGACGGCCATGCTTGTTCAGTGAATAAAAGGAGAGTTCAGTAACCAAGATCAGTCAGTAGTACTGGCTTCCACAAGTCAGCATGAAAAGAAACAGATGTCAAGTTTGTTTATAGAAATTAATAAGTGGTTGGAATATCTTCATGTGTGGGTAATACAGAATTGGTGTAAGACCTCAGTGTCCTGATTCTTAACTGCTGGTGGCCCAATATGTGCGCTTTGGTTTTTTATGTGTTGTTTAGACTTGGGACTCATGGAGAGGTAATCATGGTAGGATTTAAAAGTTTTGGCTCAAGACTTTGAAAAGACCTAGTTTTGACCCTGGTTTTATCACTAACCACCTGTGAGTCCTTGGAAAGTTACTTAACTTCTTTACATTTCAGTTTACTGTTCTCTCTAATAGAATAAACTACCTTCTGTAGAATTGTTAATAGGATTCAGTTAATACACATTTATCTTGTAGAAAGTGTTCATTGTATGGTGGCTTTCATTAGATGCTGATATTTGGTATTAATATTAATTTGGTGAAGTTTCTGTGTTCCCTTTAGATCTTCTGGAACGCCATTAGTAGCTGTTGGGCAGATCAGAGTCAAGGAACTGAGGTTGAAAATAATTGCTTTCTGTAGGTCACTTGCCAAGTTTGTCTAGTGCTTTGTTACTGCATGAATCCCCCCATAGAACAATTTAATATTAAGGTTGAGTACAATGTCCCATTTTGTTTTGGCCTCAAAATTAATTTTACTTTTTAAAATACCGTAGTCCTCCATTATTCTTGGTTTCTCTTCCTGCTATTTCAGTTACCTGCAGTCAGTTGCTTATGGAAAATATTAAATAGAAAATTCCATAAGTAAATAATAAGTTACAGTTGTTATGTCTCAGTTGTTATGTCTCAGTCTACAGTTGTTATGTTATGTTATGGTTATGGTGGTTGCTAATCTTGCAGTGCCTAATTTATAAATTAAACTTTATTATAGATAAGTATGTATAGGAAAAAAGTCACAGTGTATATAAGGTTTGATTTTAGGTTTCCATGGAATGTCTTTGGGGCTTTTACTCTGAGGATGGGGGAAGTGACTACTGTAATCTTTTAAAAATAGTCCACAATTTAGCATTATGTTTTAAATTATAGGAATTTCCATGGCATCCTGAATTTAATTGAGGTTAAAAATTAAAAACCTTGTCATTGAAACATGACCCAAGGTTGCTGATCATTTGTCTTAATCTCTTCAGGCTGCTATGATAAAACACATTACACTGGGTAATTTAGGACCAACAGAAGTGAGTGGAGGCTGGAAGTCCAGGATCAGGTGCCAGCAGGTTTTGTATTGGTAAGGGCCAGACCCTCATAGATGGTGCCTTCTGTGTGTCTTTCCAGAGAAAAGGAAATGCAGCTCTCTGGGACCCTTTTATAAGGGCATTCATGCCATTCTTCCCGGTACCGGAGAAAAACCGAAAAACCAAAAAAAAAAAAAAAAGATCATGCCATTCTGGGAGGGCTCGATCGCTTCCCAAAGGGCCACATCCTAATACTACCTTGGTGATAGTGTTTAACTTGTGAATTTTGGAGGGACACAAACGTGGAGACCATAGCTCTGGTGGTTTTCCTGTTATAACATCAAAGATGTCACTTATATTTATAATGACATTCTTTTTATACTAAGTATTTTATTGTATGTTGGCAGCAGTGTATATAAAATACTCTCATGAAATAGAAATTCATGAAAATTCACAGAGGTAGATGTTAAGTACTGACAAAAGTAGAATTTTTTGTGTTATGGCACATGTTGAAAAAGGGGAGGTTTTTGTACAGGCTTCAATTTTTTTTCTCAATAGACATTGGATAGTTAAAAGTGATCTGGGAAAAGCCCAAAAATTCATTTGATGACAAAAAGGAACAGACCTGTGGTCTGCAGGGATTTGTACATGAGGATACTCCAGTCAGCAGAGGATCATGCTGAGCATTCTGCAGGCAGAACTGTTTCAAGTCTGCAGGTGCCTGGGAAACTTTGACGTGGTGGAGCCCAGCCTCCAGCCGGAGCTGCTGAACCACTTTCTTCATGTCTGTGGCGCTAGAAGAGCCAGACATGGTACACTTGAGGGCCAGGCTGACAGGAGGGCTTGTAGTGACATTTATAAGTTGATTTTGCTCCTTTGTTTTCAGTCTGGAGATTGGATAGCCCTAGAAAGGATTCTGAAAAGTTCCTCCATAATAGTCACATTTTGAAAACTTCATTCTTCAGTAGTAATTTGGGACATAGTGAATGTAGTAAATAGTATGATTATTTTACATTTATGTCAA